GAGGTGGGGAGGGGGGGGGGGAAGTGTGGTCCTACATTCTTGTCCGTGCCCAAAACGGGAGCGCGCCAAAGCGGGGCGACGGATAATGTGTATTGTGGATGGCCTCGAACACCGAACCCCCCCGGAAAGGGGGAGACGGTATCCTCTCAATCTCTCCCGTTTTTCCCTCAACCATTCGTCCATCTACGCATCCTCGGGATGAGGTGCTGGACGACGTGATGAATAAACGGGATGGGGTGTTGCTTTCGTCGCGAAGGGGTGGGAAGGTGGAGAGGAAAGGGGCAGGGGCAGGGGGAAGGAAGGGGCGGCGGCGGAAGGGGAGACACGGGCATCGCACAGACGAGCAGACGGGTGATGGTGGCGGTGGTGTTACATTACCTCGAGGCGAAACTGGGGCGGGGGTAGGTCGGATTGTGCCTACTAGCCCGGACAGACGAGCGGTGAAGAGCGGTGGAGATGCTGGGATGCTGGATGGTGGCGACGGGGCTTGCTGACTTGCGGTGGCGGGATATACATGGGACGGCGGGTGGTTGGTGGGCAGAATAATACAGTGGTGTCGGATCGAGAGGCGGTGGACGGTCGGCGGGTGGGCGGTTAGGCAGGGTCGAGAGGCGCAGGCCGAGGCCAGGTCGGTGGATATCGATGGTAGGTGGTGATGGCAGACGCGTCGAAGGATGTCGGTACGGTGCTGACTGGCTCACTTGCGCCTGCTCTGCTGCATGCTCAGGATCTGAACCATGCGCACGAACAGGTTGATGAAGTCGAGCTCGAGGCCAATCGACTCGGCCTGTCAGAGGGGAGAGAGAGAGAGAGAGGCAAGACGCGGCGCGATGGTCAGCGACAGGCTCGACGGCAGGGAGGGCGCGGCAAAGCGCACGGCACGGGGCCAGCACTAGGACCGTCAACTCACCATCGGGTCGGGACGCATGGCGCCCATGCGGACCATCTGGGCGTGCTTGAGGACGCGCTGGGTGTCGTAGAGGACGAATGCGGAAAAGACGGCGAGGCCGCCGTAGAGCGACAGCGACTCGGTGACGGCGAGGGCGCGGAAGGCGGTGCGCGGCAGCACCATGGGCGCAAGCGACGACAGGGCCACGACGGCGACACCGGCGAGCAGCGGACCACCCATCCACAGGAACTTTTCCTCCTTGGCCGTGGCGCCGACGTAGCACAGGCTGCCGACGATGCCCGACGTGTACAGGGCGGCGCGGGCCAGGACGGCGGGGTTGAGGAAGAGGAGCGGGCTGAGGACGAGGGCCTGGGAGGCGTTGAAGGCGATCCACGAGGGCACCTTGAGCGGGTGGTCAGGGGCCAGCGAGGTGGCGCCAATCATGCTGCCAATCGAGAGGACCAGGCCACCGCCCAGCACGACCCACGGGTTGGCGGCCATGACGCGCGCCGAGACGCCGTAGCGGTGGAGACCGACGGCGATGAGACCCGTAAGGCTGAGGCCGCCGGCGAGATATTTGAAGGTGCTGTGCAGGTAGCCGGCGTCGGCCGGGTGGAGTGCCTCGCGCGTCTCACGGTTGAAGAAGAGGTTGGCGGCGAACGCGGTGCCACCGACGATGCCGAGCGAGGTGAGGGCACGCTGCCATCCGCCGGGCGCCGTGAAGCTGGTGGGAGCATCCGCCGAAGGAGCGGCGTGCGGAGCAGCGAAGGCCAGCCTGCCGCCGCCGCCGCCGCTTGCGTTGTCAACGCTACGGCGGAAGGGGCTGTTGCGGACGCCACGCACCTGCACCTGCTGCTGCTGCTGCGACAACGGCGCCGAGCGGGCGGGCGACTTTGGCGCGAGGCGCGTAAAGATGCTGCGCTGGATGGGCTGGGTGGAAAAGGAGCGGGTGGCGGCCGCCGTCGGGGACGACGAACAGCGCAGGCTGCGTGCAACCGACTGGAGTGAAGGCCGGAGGGACGCCATGGTGGGCAGCGAGTCGAACGACTTGATGTGGCGAGTGCGAGAGGCGGTTGGATGGGTGGTGGGAGAGGCCAAAGGTCCACGACGCCCGCGCCACTTCTTATAGTAGCCTGCCAAAGGGAAGGCAGGGCGGGTCGCGACCACGTCAGCGGTTGGCTGGGCCGCACAGAAGGAGGCCGGCCGGCTGGCTGGTTGGCGGGCAGGGAAGGCCCGGAGCGCGCGCATGGAAGGAAAAAGGTGGGCCAATCTGGATGACTGCGGTGGCCAATCAGGCTGCTGCGCCGTGAGCTCATCCGCCGCCGATCAGGGTTCGGCGGGTGGGTGGGGCCGGCTCGCCTTTCCTCTTCTCGGGCGAGTCCGAGCCAATGCGGAGCCGAGATCGGGCCACCCATATGCACCGAGAGGTCAGTGCGCGCCCAGGGCCCAGCCTCTCGATCAGCGACCGAGCGAGCGGGCGGGTTGGGCTGGCCGGCTGGCCTTGCTCGGGCCACAGGAAATTTCGCAGAAAAAGGCCCACAAAAAGCCAAGCCACCGCACAGCCTGCCCGCCTGCCCGCCTGCCAAAATTTTCGACGGGGCTGGCACACGGCAAAAAGAAGAAAAAAACCAGAAAGCAAGCAAGAAGGCTGGCCCGTTGCCACGGCTCCGTGCACGGCGAGAGAGACCAACACCCGCCCAAGGCAGGCCTGGAAGAAATCCAGGGCCTCTGGCAGACAGACGGCGACGACCGCGGCGGCGATGACCGACCGATGGAGCGAGCAAGAAAAATTTCCCTTTGGCCTCTTTTCTGCCTGCCTGCCTGCCTGTCTGTTGGCTCGTCACCGGTGGCCGTGCTGGGCGAGGTCAGGCCCAGGCGAGGCCAGGCAGACCCACGACGGGCGAGAAGAAAAAGCCAGGCTGGCTCGGCTCCCCCCCTCCCTCTCTACGCTTCACCCAAACCATCCCCCCCTTCCGCCTCGTCATCCTTCTTCCCCTCATCCTCACCCTCCTCCTGCGACCCGCCAACACTGCTCGAGACTATCTCTCTAGTCCCAGGCAGTCCTTCGCGCGCGCGCACATATATACAAACGAAAAAGAGATCCTGGGCCGCACATCAAGAGCCTATCCACCACCGCCCGGCACTCGGACCAGAAGAGGGGCGGCCAACGCAGCGCACCTCCATCAACTCGGCCCCGCGGCGCCGCTTACGACCAGATTCCACTGTAACGAGACCCTTGCCCTCATCCACATAGCCCAATATGGACGTGAGTAGTCTGATCTGATGGCACGGCCCACCCTGGCGCCGCTGCGTGGTTGAAATCGAATCGCCGGCTGAAGGCTGACAGAGTGATGCCCCTTCTCCTGGCCGACGTCGCCTTTCCCTCATCCCGACCGCCTCGCAGCCCTCTTTCGTTCAAGGGTTGCATCAGCTCTTGGCGCAGACCAACGTGCCGGACACGGCCGCCGTCAAGGCCGCCACCGACGCGCTGCAGAACCAGTACTACAAGAACCCCGCCTGCGTGCCGGCGCTCTTTGAGATCCTCGCCACCTCGCCCGACCAGGCCGTCCGCCAGCTGGCCGCCGTCGAGCTGCGAAAGCGCCTCGCCAAGAGCCAGAAGGTGTGGGCCAAGCAGACGGTCGAGGTGCGCAACGGCATCAAGGTCAAGCTCCTCGAGATTGTCACCAACGAGGCGACGTGAGTGTCCGCCCCTGAGTGGACGGGTCGCCAGCCTCGGGCTTTGTCGATCCTTCGTCCTCGCTCTGCGCGCCACCTCATCTGACACATCTGGCTCGTCCCGCAATACTCACTCCCCTCGTCTACGCCGATTCTCCGCCCTGCAGGCCCATCGTCCGGAATGCCATCGCCCGCGTCATTTCCGAGATTGCCAAGCGCGAGCTGCCGACGGGCACGTGGCCCGACCTGCTGCCCTTCCTCTTCAACGCCGCCGAGTCGTCCAACGCCAGCCACCGCCAGGTTTCGATCTTTGTCTTCTACACGGTCCTCGAGACGTTTGTCGACGGCGGCGACGTCCTCGAGCAGCAGCTGCCCCAGATCATGCAGCTGTTTGCCAAGAGCCTGCAGGACCCGGAGAGCATCGAGGTCCGCATCACGACGGTCCGCGCGCTCGGCAAGGTGGCCCAGAACCTCGACAACGACGCCTCGGCCGACCTGGTGGCGATGCAGTCGGCCGTGCCCCAGATGGTCGGCGTGCTCAACCAGTGCCTCGAGTCGAGCAACCAGGAGGGCGTCCGCCAGATCCTCGACGTCCTCGAGGAGATCTGCATGCTCGAGGTGCCCATCATCTCGAACCACATCGCCGAGCTCATTGACTTTTTCCTCGCCAACGGCGCCAACAAGGACCACGAGGAGGACCTCCGCCTCATGTGCCTCAACTCGCTCATCTGGACGTGCTCCTACAAGCGGTCCAAGGTGCAGAGCCTCGGCCTGGCCAAGCCCATGATCGCCCGGCTGATGCCCATCGCCGTCGAGGAGGACTCGGACGACGCCGACGAGGACTCGCCCTCGCGCCTCGCCCTCCGCGTCATCGACAGCCTCGCCACCGAGCTGCCGCCCAGCCACGTCTTCCCCGCCCTCCTCGAGCAGATGCAGACCTACATGAGCAACCCGGACCCGCACCACCGCAAGGCGGCCATGATGGCGTTCGGCGTCTCGGTCGAGGGCTGCTCCGAGTATATCCGCCCGCACATGAACGACCTCTGGCCGTTTGTCGAGGCCGGCCTCAAGGACCCGCACACCGTCGTCCGCAAGGCTGCCTGCGTCGCCCTCGGCTGCCTCTGCGAGATGCTCGAAGAGGAGTGCGCCGCCAAGCACGCGTCGCTGCTGCCCGTCATCATGGAGCTCGTCAACGACCCCGAGACGCAGCGCTCGGCGTGCACCGCCCTCGACTCGCTCCTCGAAGTCATGGGCAACGACATCTCCCAGTACCTGCCCGCCATCATGGAGCGCCTCGCCGGCCTCCTCGAGACGGCGCCGCTGCCCGTCAAGGCCACCGTCACGGGCGCCATCGGCTCCGCCGCCCACGCCTCCAAGGAGGGCTTCCTGCCCTACTTCCAGCAGACGATGCAGCGGATCCAGCCCTTCCTGTTGCTCAAGGAGGAGGGCGACGAGATGGACCTGCGCGGCATCACCACCGACACCGTCGGCACGTTCGCCGAGGCCGTCGGCAAGGAGGCCTTCCGCCCCTACTTCCAGGACCTCATGAAGCTCGCCTTTGAGGGCATGGAGCTCCAGAACCCACGCCTGCGCGAGTGCAGCTTCATCTTCTTTGCCGTCATGTCGCGCGTCTTTGGCGAGGAGTTCTCGCCCTTCCTGCCCCACGTCGTCCCCAAGCTCATCGAGAGCTGCCAGCAGTCGGAGCACGACCCCGTGCCCGGCGCCTCGGGCGACGGCACCATCAACGGCATCGGCATCCCCGGCGCCAGCACCGGCGGCGACGACGACGACGACGACGACGGATTTGTCGACATCGACGAGCTCAACGACGCCTTCCTCAACGTCAACTCGGCGGTGGCCATCGAGAAGGAGGTCGCCGCCGACTCGCTCGGCGAGATCTTTGCGCACACCAAGCAGGGCTTCCTGCCCTATGTCCAGCAGTCGGTCGAGCAGCTCGTCATCCTGCTCGAGCACTTCTACCAGGGCATCCGCAAGAGCTCCGTCTCGGCCCTCTTCACCTTCATCAACACCCTCAACGAGATGAGCAACCCGCAGGAGTGGCAGCCGGGCATCCAGGTCAAGGTGCCCCTCAACCCCGAGGTGCAGAAGCTCGTCAGCGCCGTCATCCCGGCGGTCATGGAGATGTGGGAGAGCGAAGACGACCGGTGAGTACGCGATCCTTGTGTGAAACCAAACGGCGGCGTCGGCGGCCCCCACGCCCTCCAGCCCGCCCCCTCCACCGGACATCCTCCTCCGGGCCCGTCCAGAAGGATGACACAACAACATCAACTCAGCTCACAATGATGTCCGCCATCAACGGACCGTGATCATAACGTGTTTCAACATCTCTGACCTCTCTACGCCACTCGCCGTTTGTCGTCTTCGGACGCGGCGAGGGCCGAGATGGGACGGGCATGGAGGACCGTGTGGAGGGGAGGTGGCCGCCGCTGCCGATGCCGTCGCCCATCGCCTGCGTCGCTGCCGCAGCTTTGCTGATCCCTTGCACTGTTCCCATCTCCCCGCCCCGCTCTCTGCCGCGCACCTAGCACCGCCGCCATCGAGATCTGCCAGTCGCTGGCCGAGTGCCTCAACAAGAACGGCCCGGCCATCATCGCTCCGGACCACCTCGACGTGGTGTGCACCTACACGATCATGATCCTCGAGAAGAAGAGCCCGCCGCAGCTCGATTCGGAGATCCCCGAGGAGGACAACGAGGAGGCGTCCGAGTACGAGTCGGTGCTCATCTCGGCCGCTTCGGACCTGGTGGGCGCCATGGCCAACGTGCTCGGCGACGACTTTGTCCAGCCGCTCAAGCAGTTCATGCCGCAGATCATGAAGTACTACACGCCCGGCCGTTCGGTGAGCGACCGCGCCACGGCGATCGGCTCGCTGGGCGAGATCATCACGGGCATGAAGCAGGCCATCACGCCCTTCACCCAGGACGTCCTGTCGCTGCTGTCGCGCGCCCTGTCGGACGAGGAGGCGTCGGTGCGCTCCAACGCCGTGTTTGCCTCGGGCGTCCTCATCGAGAACAGCGAGACGGACCTCAGCTCGCACTTCCCCGCGCTGCTGAGCGCCATCCGCCCCTTCTTTGACAAGGCCGACGGCGAGAGCGACGAGGTCAAGACGGCGCGCGACAACGCCTGCGGCTGCCTCGCCCGGATGATCATCAAGAACAACGACGCGCTGCCGCTCGACCAGGCGCTGCCCACCCTATTCTCCTCGCTCCCCCTGCAGAAGGACATGGCGGAGTGGACGCCCGTGCTGCACTGCATGATGAACCTGATCCAGGCCAACAACGCGGTCGCCACGCAGCACATTGACACGATCCTGCAGCTGTTTGCCCACGTCCTCGGCTCGGACGACAACAGCCTGGGCGGGTTGCTGCGCGGCCAGGTGTGCGGCTTCATCAGCCAGCTCAACTCGCAGATCCCCGACAAGGTCCAGGCCGCCGGCCTGCAGCAGTACCTCGTCTAGACGCGACGGTGCCCGCGCGCCCCGCCTTCCCCGGGCCGGCCGGCCAGCTGGCGTCTCGCCCCATCGCCCTTCTGTCGTTGCTGTTAGAAGATGCGGCGGTCGCGGGACACCGCCGTTTGGCCATCATACCATACCTCGCCAGGGCTCGCCACCCGGCGCCCCGCCACGGCATCGGCGTCCGCCCTGCGCCCCCCACCCCCCGCATTCCCGGTCTGCACTCTTTTTCCCTCGCAACAACACGCACACTTACTCATACCCGCGAGTAGTCAGCCCCGGCGGCCGAGGAGGTCGGCCTCTCTCTGCCCCATTGCGACGCGCCGACGCGCCGTCTCGGCGTAGCGGCGGCGGACGCAGTTTGGCAAGGCCCCCTCTGACGCTTCCGAGGCTCGATTTGCTCACACGACAATGCTCCCAGGTCCTTTCGGGAAGGACGCAACCTTGATTCCTCTTCGCCTTCTTGTCACACTTCCTTCTTTTTTCTCCCTCCCTCGTTATCCCTCCTTGTTCATGGTCTTTTTCCTTTAGCCCCCTCCTCTGACTCGTCGTAATATCTCGTCCTCCGTTTGTGGCGTGTTTCTGATCCTTGCTCGGCGGCGGTGGTGGTGGCGGTGATAAGGCGAGCAAGAGCGACGACGACGAGGCCTGGCCGTCAAGAGTGGCTGCGGCAGCGCCTCGGTCGGTCGGTCGACCGACCAGTTTCGGAGCCGTGGCCGGTAGCGAGCAGCGCGGCTGGGCTGAGCTGGCCCGCTGGGATTTTCCTGGCTGCCTGGCTGTACGTGTGGCTGCAGCCGTGCAGACGCCGAGGTGCAGCCAGCAGCAGCGGCTGAGACCGGCCGGCCGGACGTAACCTACGTGTCAGAGCAGCGCAGCGCTGCCAGCCCGTGAGCCCCGTGCGTGTGCCAGAGATCGAGGCAGGTGGGCTTCAGGATGCGGTTCCAGGCGGCGTACATGGACCTCGCTCCTGGACAGGCCGGCCTTGACAATCGAGCAAGCAAGCAAGGAAGCCGGCAAGCAAGCAAGGGAGGGCTCGAGGAGGGGAGGGGAAGCCCAACATGGCAGGTGGCTGCTGCTGCTTGATCCAGCTGAAATTCAGAGCTCGAGCTCACGCGCGGGCCAGCTGGCAAAACCAGCCCCCAGCGGCGGCGCGAGGGAAGAAAAAAACCCCTGCCTCGCCACGGCGCCAGGCAGGCCTGTTGGCCTGCTGAACAGCGAGCCAGCCAGCCTGGCGCCAGAGAGGGAGAGAGAGAGAGAGGCTAGGCCGGGAGAGCACGCGCGTGGATGTGCAGGCCGAGGGCAGGGACGAAGCAGCAAGCAAACAGCAAGCAAGCAGCCAGGAAAAAGTCGGGCACGCTCCGAGGCCAGTGTGCCAGCAGACGGGCGAGGCGCAGCAGGCAGGCAGGCAGGCTAGGACCTCAATCACCCCAGCCCCCGGCCCAGCGCAGCCTACCAGCCAAGCCTAGCCTGCCCCTTTGAGAGGCCAGGCAGGCAGCGCAGCCAACGAGGGCGCGTGCGTGTGTGGGTGCGTGCGTGGGTCGGCCCAGCAGGGCTGGCAGCCAGCAGCCAGCAGCCAGCAAGCTTCGCGAGGCAAGCCGAGGGGAGGCCTGGCCTGGCCTGCCCTTGCTGCCTGTGGCCTGACTGACCTGCGAAGGCGCCCCGACCATCTTCGGCTGCCAGACTGCCTGACTGCTGGCCCCTCAGCCCCTTCGTCCTCGCTCCTGCCTGTTCGCCTTTGCCCCCTCGCCGGATATCGACCAACGCCGCCGACGCCACGACAGCCCCGGCCCGTCTCACCGTCACCACCTCAACCACCACCACCACCACCACCGTCGTCACCCACGGCTACCGCTTCACCCTGCCGTCCTCCTCCCTCTCCTCTTCTCTCCTCGGCCCGCGTCAGCCTCTCGGTGTCCGCCACCAAAGCCTCGGTCTCGCCCGCCCCGTTTCGCCCTTCCTTTGAACCCCACTCGCGACGTTGACGTTCTGCGCTCGCCGACCACGCAGCGGGTTAGATTAGCAAGTTACCTAGACGCCGCTGCTTTCCTCGCCTCGGCCCTTTTGATTGCCTCCTGGCCATCTGGCACCGGCCCTTGCCCGCCTCCCTCGTCGCTGGTCGCGCATTGGGCTGTCCTTGCACTCGACGGTAGCAAAAGCTCAACCGACATCGCCGTTGCTCGCATCACCGCACCGAGGACCACCGTCAACTGCCGGTCCACTTGACGACACGCAACTGCTGCCTACAGGAGAGGCCGGCCCTTTTCCCCCGCCGCCCCACCCTCCTTCACCTCGGTCGTACCTCTGGCAGGCGAGCCAGTCCGCCATTGGCGCAGACCCTCTGCCCTTTCGCCGAGCTATACGCGCTGGTCGTAGCGAAAGCAGACGTTCCGTCTGCATCACCTTGTCTCGACCCTCCCCGGCCTGATCAGGCTCGACCTCACCTTCCTGGCCCGGCTCACCGCGCCCTGAGAGGCTTTGACCCGCTCTGCCTCTTGTCACTGTCGTCGCCGCCGTCGCCGCCGCCGCTTGATAGACTGGCTGCGCCCCCTGTCCTGGCTACAGAGAGGCGCCACGACCACTCCCACCTAGACTGCTTCTTCTCTACTCGCAAACACCACAGCAACCATGGCCCCAGCGGCCTCGGACCTGCTCGCGACGTACGTCGTCGGCACCAAGGCGTGGTTCGCCGACAAGGAGAATGGCTGGATCAGCGCCACGCTGGCCAAGCCCGTGGCCAGATCGGCCTCGGGCGACGTGACGCTCGAATTTGTCCTCGACGACACTGGCGCCACAAAGACGGTCACCACATCCGAGGCCAAGCTGGCCGGCGCCAACGGCGACGAGGAGCTCCCGCCGCTGCGCAACCCTCCGCTGCTCGAGGCCACCGATGACCTGACAAATCTCAGTTACCTCAACGAGCCTGCTGGTGAGTCGTCGGCCGCTGGCCGCGAAACCGCCTCGCCTCGACTCGAATGCGGTCGACCGTGCGCTCACCATGCTGACCTTGCCTTGCGACCCTTGGTTCGCCTCTCTGCTTTGGCCCCTCCCTCCTCACCCGCGCCGCAGTGCTACACACCATCCTCAACCGCTACTCGCAGCGCCTGATCTACACCTACTCTGGCATCGTCCTGATCGCCGTCAACCCCTTCTACGGCCTCAGCCTGTACAGTCCGGAGATCATCCAGGCCTACTCGGGCAAGCGCAAGGGCGAGCTTGAGCCGCACCTGTTCGCCATCGCAGAGGACGCCTACCGCTGCATGATCCGCGATGTCAAGGATCAGACGATTGTCGTCAGCGGAGAGAGCGGAGCCGGCAAGACGGTGTCGGCCAAGTACATCATGCGGTACTTTGCCACGGTCGAGGACCCGGACCGCCCCGGCAGCCGCAAGGCCGGGGCCAGCGGCAAGGACTCGAGCGGCATGAGCGAGACCGAGCAGCAGATCCTCGCCACCAACCCGATCATGGAGGCGTTCGGCAACGCCAAGACGACGCGCAACGACAACTCGTCGCGCTTCGGCAAGTACCTCGAGATCCTCTTTGACCGGGAGCACGAGATCGTCGGCGCCAAGATGCGCACCTTCCTGCTTGAGCGCAGCCGCCTCGTCTACCAGCCCGAGTCGGAGCGCAACTACCACATCTTCTACCAGCTCTGCGCCGGCGCGCCGTCGTCGGAGAAAAAGGACCTCGGACTCGAGGACGCGTCCAAGTTCAGCTACCTCAATCAGGGCGGGCCGAGCGCACTGTCGATCGGCGGCGTCGACGATGCCGAGGAGTTCAAGGCGACGCAAAAGGCGCTCAGCACGGTCGGCGTCAAGATCGAGAAGCAGTGGCAGATCTTCCGCCTGCTGGCGGCGCTGCTCCACCTCGGCAACATCTCGATCGCCGCCTCGCGCAACGACGCCATGCTGGCCGACGACGAGCCGAGCCTCTTCATGGCGACCAAGATGCTGGGCATCGACCTCAACGAGTTCCGCAAGTGGACGGTCAAGAAGCAGCTGCAGACGCGCGGCGAAAAGGTCATCACCAACCTCACCCAGGCCCAGGCGGTGGTGGTGCGGGACTCGGTGGCCAAGTACATCTACACGGGCCTCTTTGACTGGCTCGTCGACCAGATGAACACTTCGCTCGCCCTCGGCTCGAGCACGACGCGCCAGTCGATGATCGGCGTGCTCGACATCTACGGCTTCGAGCGCTTCAAGGTCAACTCGTACGAGCAGTTCTGCATCAACTATGCAAACGAGCGGCTCCAGCACGAGTTCAACCACCACGTCTTCAAACTGGAGCAGGAGGAGTACCTGCAGGAGCAGATCAGCTGGACCTTTATCGACTTTTCCGACAACCAGCCGTGCATCGACATGATCGAGGGCAAGCTCGGCGTCCTCTCGCTCCTCGACGAGGAGTCGCGCCTGCCGTCGGGCTCCGACGAGTCGTTTGTCCAGAAGCTCTACACGCAGATGGACAAGCGGCCCGAGTTCAAGAACGCCTTCAAGAAGCCGCGCTTCGGCCAGACGTCGTTCACCGTGTGCCACTACGCCCTCGACGTCGAGTATGCCAGCGCGGGCTTTGTCGAGAAGAACAAGGACGCCGTGCCCGACGAGCACCTCGCGCTGCTCACCAACACGTCCAACAGCTTCCTCAAGGAGGTCCTCGATACGGCCCACAGCGGGTCCAAGGTCGAGGAGCCGCCGGCGACGGCGGCGACCGCAG